CAATATCATATTGTAATTATAATATCATATTATTAAAATAATTATAATATCATATTATATGATAAAATAATAATATTAGAGTTATTAATATAATTATGATATTATTTGTTACGATATTACTATTATATTATATTATATTATAGTATGAGTTTGAATTTCAGATTGAAAAGATTGTAAATTTTAAATTTTATTAGGGGTATTATGGGCATTATTAAAGTTTTATTAATTATACTATACTGATTCCCGCACAATCTAAAAGCTAAAGTTGTTTTTATGCTGCTTCTGATTTTGACTGTAGATTCTTGAAAAATTATTCAAAAATCACTTTTGAGGATATTTACTAAACACTTAAATCAGCTTCTACTACAAGCAGGAACTGATTTTAGAAGGAAAAAATAATACCAAACTAAGCCCTTGATTAATAATATTTTCCAGTCTAGTTTTCAAAAAAAAAAATTATACTGAAAAGGACATGTTCTTTTTTTTTTTTCATGTAAAAGGGACGTGTCGTTCTTCTAAAATCCACTTTGTAGATTATACATAGTATTGGATCAACTGTGCATCATCTTAATCTACAACTTTTGTATATACTAACTAATGAATACGCATTGTATGCATAGTTTAAAAAAACAAAAACAGAAATTCTCAGAAAAAAATAAAAAGGAGGAGATTCTTAAACTGTCAAGCATGCAAATGTATGGATATATTTCCAATCAAAAAAGAAAAAATGTATAGATAAGACTAATGTTTTGTATTGACGTGGGTGTTAGCAACGTCAACCCGTACTTCTAATGTTGCCATGTTCTCCCCTCTCAAGAATCAAGAGTCAAGAGCCAGAGGTGGATATTATGGCATCGTTCATTTCACTAATTCGAGTTTAAAATTTAAATTTTGTTACAGTAAAAAATTTTCATAAATAATTACATTTAACTTTTTTATTACAGTAAAAAACTCTCAAATAAAATCACATTTCAACTCAAATTAAAAATTTAAATCAACGAATTAAACGAACATTTGCCACCAACACGGCTGCGCTCAATACCACATTTTGAGCAAAAAAAAAAACAATGAATGTAGGTGTAGAAAATTGAAAATGAGTAAGCATGAAGATAAAAACAGAGAAACAAATCAGTGACGGGCCATCCCTCAAGTCTCATCAGAAAGAATAATTTGATTTAACGCAGTCATCATTGTTGCACCCAAAACAAGCAACTAAAAAAGCAACTGGGTCTTAACTAATTCTTTTTTCCTTTATTTTTTTTACCCGAGAACTCTTAACTAACTATTTAACTATGAGATTTTTATTTTAACAATTTGAGTTTTTATTATATTTAATTTTTTATCACAGTTAAAATTTTTTAAAAAATATTACATATAAATTTAAATTAAAAATTTAAATATGTAAAACGAATGAGGTTTAATTTACTAGTTGCTACTTATATTTACACAAAAATATCGCAAAGTCTAAAAACAAATGTATTCATTTATTCATTAAACACTGAATTTTGGTGCTCTCTAATATGGAAATTAGAAGAACATGCATTTTTAACAGAAAATAAATAAATAAAAAGGCCAAAAAAAAAAAAGAAATTTGACTTGGAATTTGAGTCTTTTCTTACATTGAGTCTTAACACTTATGTCTCGTTTGTTTCGTAAATTTAAATTTTTAATTTAAATTGAGATATGATATTTTTAGTTTTTAATTATAATAAAAAATATTAAATATGATATTTTTTAAAAAATTTTAAATATAAAAATTTAATATTAAAAATTTAAATTGGTAAAATGAATGAGATATAGTCAAAATATTCGGGATCGAAATGCTAGTTAATGAAATGAAAATGTTTGTAAAAAAAAGAAAAATGTCCGACCCAAATAGTGCGGTGGTCTAACTACTCCCATTAGGACAGCGCTAAACTAAGCAGAGTTCTCAGACTTCAGAGCAACGGCTCCGAATGCGACTCTCTCGCTTGCGATCTCGCCTTTCCCTAGATTTCTGGTAAGACACAAACAAAGCAAAGCAAAAAAAAAAAAAGGTTAAACTTTGTAGTCAGAAAACAGAAAAATGTGCTCACTTCAGACAATTCTGTGTAGGAGCTCTGCTGAAATTTAATCGGAAATTCGGTCATTCGATTTTTCTCAGATCGTACCGGAAGATTCATTGCTCTACCATGGCTGTTCCCGTGGAAGAAGCTATTGCCGCGCTATCTACATTTTCGCTCGAGGTACTTACTTCTCACTTTTTTTTTTGTTCTGTTTAGAAATTTTTCAAAAAGTTTATAATTTGGTAGAGTAAATGCTTCAAAATGTTTAATTTATCTGGTTTATTGCTGTTATGTCTTCTATTTTTTCTGTTAAATTTCGTTAGATGCGAACTCTTACACCAGCAAGCTTTCTGAAATGGTTTAATTTTTGGCCAATTTAAGCAACAATGAACAACTGTTTAATTTCGTGAGAAAAAAGCGAGATTATTGCGATACATTCACGAGGCTTGAAATGCAGCTTTCTTTCTTTGTTTTTGTTTTTTTGTTTTTTTGTTTTTTTGATTTTGTAGGATGAGCAAGCACAAGTGCAAGGACCAGGATTTTGGGTGTTTACCGATAGAGGTTCAACTGAAAGTCCAATTGGTAGGAATTTTTTTTTATTTTTTTTATTTTTTAAATTCTGTATTTCTGGTCGTATTGCGATGCGAATGCATAAAATGCTAATTTTTAAGTCGTGGAACGTAATAACCTTTATGTAAATCCAATTTTTGTTACCATTTCGAAATTTCTATGGAAATTCGTAACGCAAAACATTGTTTCAAAGTATTGAATAACATGTAGTTGTACAAGTTATCTCAATGTCTTATGTTAAACTTAAAGCATTATTTTAATTTTGTAGAGTATAGTGATGTTTCGGCATATCGCCTATCTCTATCAGAAGACACAAAGGCTCTCAATCAGCTGGTATGAAGCTCCCTCTTCTGTTTTTGCTTCATTTATAAAAGCGTAGGACCTAAATACGTGTGTGCGGTACTAAGTTAATGTATAGTTCATATGTTGGTTCCATGTTATAATTAATTTCAGTCCTTTTCTCAACATTGTTACCTATGCGTTAAATTGCCTTGTTCCCTGAACTCTCAACATGTGCAGAATGCCCTTATCCAAGAAGGAAAGGAGATGGCATCAGTGCTTTATACATATCGCAGTTGTGTCAAAGCACTTCCTCAGGTTCATATTTGCTTTTGAATCGGAACAATCTTTCCCTTTTTCTGTCTCGAGGATATTACTCTTCTCGTTGATTAGCATGTTATAGAGATAATATTCTTTCTGAACATTAAAAGTACCTATATGTAAATGTGTGTATGGAGGCGTACATTTGTCTACCTATACATATATAATTAAGTGATGGAAATAGTTTTCTGTGGAGAAATGTTATTTCAATTTTTGTGTCAACTTTAACCTTAGGTAATCGAGTTTTTGTCATAATCCAACATTCTGGTGGCTCAGTTTCTTTCTAGTGTGCAAATTGCTTGGATTCTTGTTTCTCTGGAGTCTTTACTTCTCTGATTGGGTGTGTGGTTGACAATAATGTTGCAGCTTCCTGATTCTATGAAACAAAGTCAAGCTGACTTGTATATGGAAACATATCAAGTTCTGGACTTGGAGATGAGTCGTCTGCGTGAAATACAGCAATGGCAAGCCTCAGCTTCATCTAAAGTACGAGCTCATTTGACCTTCTACTTCAACTCTTCTAGCCTTTATTGGCTAAATAATTACCTTCAAATAATTGTCGCTTTTCTCAATACAGCTAGCTGCAGACATGCAACGGTTTTCTAGGCCTGAGCGACGCATCAATGGCCCTACAGTATCTCATCTGTGGTGTGTAATAAGTCTTTTAGTTTTTGTGTGATTCATCTTTTACTCTTATTGTCCAGTCGGTACATGAAATTTAAGGTTGAGCTCTTGACCCCATGGCAAATCCTAAGTTCTTATGATGATGGCTAATACCTACCTCCTGCTAATTATTCTTTCCTTCAGGTCCATGTTAAAGTTACTTGATGTTTTAGTGCAACTTGATCATCTTAAAAATTCTAAAGCAAGCATACCCAACGATTTTTCTTGGTATAAAAGGTGAGGGTATAATTGATCTCTTAGCTAAATTTAGTTTAAATTTTCTATCAACTAGTTTCGTGTATACAATTATATTTAGTGAAATTTGATCTCCAGATTCTTGAGCATATATTTCCTACTGATTCTTTGTACTATTAATGTTCATACTATCAGACAATTATCAAGAAAGCTGACAAGGAGGGGAGAAAAAATAGTGTCTAATTATTGATTTATAATTAACGTATCAATAATATTTATATATATATATTTTGTTTTTTCCCCTTTATGAATGATAATAACAATGCGTCTCGAAACTGGTGACTATTTCATTTCTTAAATTTTTTATACGCACCCGTAAATTATTTGAATCTAGTTTGACATCGGTGCCTTCTATCCTCTGAATAATTTATCAGGACATTCACACAAGTTAGTGTTCAGTGGCATGACACTGATTCAATGAGAGAGGAGTTAGATGATTTGCAGGTGCAATTACTCTCTTACTTTACTTTATTCGTAGCATACAGGCTTGGAATGGATATATTATATTAACGGTTATCTAGTCTAGGGGTTACCTTTTCTTTTTGTTGTTTATTACCTTTAAACCAACACAATGTCATCATGTAATGACAATCTCCATTCTCAATTGTCACAGATTTTCCTCAGCACAAGGTGGGCTATTTTGCTGAATTTACACGTTGAGATGTTCCGCGTGAACAAGTATCCAAAATAAATAAGTTATATGCGACACATTGGGCATTGCCACTTTTACTGATGTTTCGCGGAGAAAATTCCATAAACTTGTCTTCTTCCTCCCTTTATAAGCATGTATTCCCATTTTTCTTAATGTGGAAGTTGTGAAATAATCTTCTATCATTGTGGCACAGAACTGGGTTCACTATGTTCTGTTATTCTCTTTTGAGTTCCTTAATTTGATATAGTGTAGAAGACATCCTTCAAGTTCTCATAGTCTTTGCCGTTGAGTCATTGGAGTTGGATTTCGCACTTCTGTTTCCAGAGCGACACATTCTTCTGCGTGTTTTGCCTGTTCTTGTTGTCTTAACAACATCGTCAGAGAAGGATAGTGAGTCTCTATACAAGAGGGTGAAAATCAACAGACTAATTAACATATTTAAGGTAACATAGAACAATAAAAAGTGTAATAATACGTGATTCCAAAAAAATGCATTAAAAAATGGGTAAATAATGTCACATGCAGTTAACAGTCTTTTTCCTTTTCCAGTACAAGTTAATGTTTTTGGCTTTGGTAATTTCCTTTGTTCTTTTTTTTTTGGCAGAACGATCCAGTCATTCCTGCATTTCCAGATCTTCATCTTTCTCCTGCTGCAATTATGAAAGAGTTGTCGATGTACTTTCAAAAGTTTTCTGCTCAAACTCGTCTTCTTACTATTCCAGCGCCTCATGAGCTTCCACCCCGCGAAGCACAAGAATATCCTTGAGTTGATATGTAACTTGGTTTGTTGTCTTTTTCTTTCCTTTACATCCTCTTCGAATCACCAGTTGATATACTGTTCTTCCCTTGTCATTTTATTGCAAGATGTCTTACCTGCAAAAGAAATCAACTTGACCTCATGATAATTGTGTTCTTTTTTTTTTTTCTTCAATCAACAAAGCATGTGAAACAAATTGCCTTGTTCTAGTTATTATGTTTGGAAGTTGGTAAAAAAAATGCAAAGTATCTCGATATTGCTTTTAAAATAAAATATTTTTAGCCTTAGAGAAAACGAGATGGGCCAATACAGCAAAGAGTTAACTGTATACTTTGTGACACTCAAAACTATTTTTTACACTTGTAGATTGTTGTTGCCTTATTTGATAGATATGGAACTATCTGGCAACAATATGGGAATAGTATAAGTTTTTTTTTTTTTTTGGTTGTTTTAGGTGTGTATGGTTGAATATTCAAAAGCATTAGCATCTTTCTTGTGAAGCCTTGACATAATTTACTTACCAGAGGCATTATCTGATAATCAATCACATTGGATCTATCCGTGCCGAGCATGATGATTTTACTATTCGTTTTGCCTCTGCCATGAACCAGGTGCCCTCTCCTTACTAATATAAAATCTCACTCTAATTACATCTCATTGTATAAACTAAAAAATCCAGCACTTTGGTGTCTATACATTCCTGTTTGTGCAGCTCTTGTTGTTGAAATCACTAGATAATGTAGATGTTGAGTGGTGTAAAGAAGTCAAGGGAAACATGTACGATATGGTGGTTGAAGGTTTTCAGCTTTTAAGCAGATGGACTGCACGAGTATGGGAACAATGTGCATGGAAGTTTTCTCGGCCCTGCAAGGATCTTGTTCCTGTGGAATTGCAGGAGAGTTCGGCATCATTTTCTGACTATGAAAAGGTAATATAGCAAGTAGATGGAGAATTGAAACTTATTATTTGTGACATGTAGTTTCACTACCTCTAAAGATCATACTTAGCCTAGTAATGCTGGTATGGGCCCACTACATTATATAATACATCTGCAACAAACTTTTTAATTGCTTGGTCTGATATTTTCTTATTTGTATAGGTTGTGCGATATAATTATAGTGCAGAGGAAAGGAAAGCACTGGTCGAGCTTGTTAGCTACATAAAAAGCATTGGGTCAATGATGCAGCAATGTGACACATTGGTTGCTGATGCTTTATGGGAAACTATACATGCAGAGGTCCAAGATTTTGTCCAGAATACATTGGCTACTATGTTGCGAACTACATTCCGGAAGAAGAAGGATATTTCTAGGTTTGAATTCACCTAGTATCTATTACGTGGTTGAGATTTCTATTTATTTTCTACTCCACCTGACTTAATACAACATTTTTATAGTTCTTATCCTGATTTTTATGAGGAAATGAATAAAGTAGTGACTTACTAATACAGTATTTAATGAAAAATATATGTTTTTCTAGATTAGTGGGCTAATTTATGATTTATCTGACATATAATCTTGTAAACTGTTTTCCCTCCACCAGGAAGTTCCAAATTGCTGACATGTTCTCTTGATTCCTTTCAGGATTCTTTCTGATATGCGGACCCTTTCAGCAGATTGGATGGCAAACACAAGCAAGTCTGAAGCTGAGTTACAATCTTCGCAGCATGGAGGTGATGAAAGCAAAGGAAATTTCTTTTTCCCAAGGCCTGTTGCGCCAACGGCTTCTCAGGTTTCTTTCCGCTAACTTTTTATCAATTTCTACTAGTTTATCTCCAAATTGACTTACGGACTTTATCTTCTCATAATTCCTTCGCATTGGATTGAACTAATAGATACTTTTACTTTTCTGCTATATTTCTTTATCTAGGTCCACTGCTTGCAGTTCCTGATATATGAGGTGGTGTCTGGTGGTAATCTGAGGAAGCCTGGAGGGCTCTTTGGTAATAGCGGGTCTGAGATTCCTGTCAACGATATGAAACAGTTGGAAACCTTCTTTTACAAGCTCAGCTTTTTCCTACATATATTGGATTTCTCAGGTACTCTTACTTTGTCTTTAGATCTTTGGCTACGTATTCCTGACAGTGCCAACTTTCAAAAAGAATGTTCATGTTCTAACCGTGTTTTAAAACCAAGAATTGCATTGTTTGTTAATTCCCTTGCCACAGTTATCATGAGCTATGATAAAACTTCACCATACCTTTGTGATTCTATTTGCAGCAACCGTTGCAACATTGACAGATCTTGGTTTCCTATGGTTTAGAGAATTTTATGTGGAGTCATCTCGTGTTATTCAGGTATAAATTTTATCATATGAATATATTTTGTACTTAAACTTCAAGTAGCATATGATACTGAAATATGGGTTGAAAGAAAATCGTCCTGTTCATTTCAAATAATCGTACAATTGAAATTTCTGTAAAATTTCCTGTCTACTAGTATTTCCTGAGAATATAACTCAAGTTATTCTAAACCACCTTTAAAGCTTTATGGATGCAAATAAATAAAAGCCATTTATGACAGAATGTTTCAGGAAAGTTGTTGTCACAAAAGTTTCCATATATTTTGATTTTTCACACGTTATCACTCTATATTTTACTGCTATGATTGCTAAGTTTTAATCATTTTTTGCTTAAAAGGGCTTCACTTTTATTGCTTTTCAAGAAAAAGTTGTGTCCCCTTTCTATGCCATTCAATATATCATTTCTTCATTTAAAGGAAACATATTTCCTCTCTTTTTCAGTTTCCGATTGAATGTTCCCTTCCCTGGATGTTGGTCGATTATGTGCTTGAGTCGCAAAATATGGGTCTTCTTGAGAGTGTTCTGATGCCTTTTGACATCTATAATGACTCGGCTCAGCAAGCATTAACTGTGCTGAAACAACGCTTCCTCTATGATGAAATTGAAGCTGAGGTACACAAATTTCTAGACTAGTTTATATGATGTAGTTTTTTGGTTAACTTCATTGTTTTTATTCATTTATTTATTTTTAAATCATAGGTCGACTACTGCTTTGATATATTTGTTTCAAAACTCTGCGAGACTATCTTTACATATTACAAGAGCTGGGCAGCAAGGTATGTGTTTTTTGACTGGTTAAATTCTCCCATGCCACGGAAATTTAATACATATTTGTCTTACAAAATGTATAACTTAAATTCTTAATTGCTATTTTTTGGTCATATCTTAATCTTACAGTGAACTACTTGATCCATCTTTCCTCTTCGCACTAGATAATGGTGAAAAGTTTTCTATCCAACCTATGAGGTTTACTGCTCTGCTAAAGATGACTAGAGTGAAGGTAAATAGAGCTTTGAATTCATTATCTATTTATTTTATTCTCTATTTTTTTTTTGTTCAATTTACTAGATATATTGATGGCTTAAATGTCGGGGCTAATTATGACTAGCATGCTTTTTGGTTCATTCAACATATTGGCTGGTGATCATAACTTCTAACCTCAGCAGTATGACACCATTTAAAAGGGATATCTGCAAAAATGACACAGTTTGGTATAATTATTGCTTTTGACCATATTCTAACATGAATCTGACTCTTAACTCCATTAATTTAGAATCAAATTTTGACCAGCGGGGTCTTAAATGTCGAAACCAGAGTAATAGCCATTAAGAAAGGGGGATTTGGGTATAAGATAAAGGTGAAAATATTACATTTTCCGCTATCAGAATTTTCATGATAAGAAAAGACTTCTGGGAAGTTAATGCTGGTGTGTGGTAGTTTTTGTGTCTTCTCAGATTGTTAAGAAGCCACCAAAAAAAAAAAAGCCTTACGAGGCCAAACCAATTCTGAACTGGCGAGAATGGGGTTTATGTTCGACAACAGGAAATTGGTGGGTTGGGGAAGTTTGGCTTAACTAACCCTGTTGTCAATGTCTTTTTCATGAGACCTAAAATCGAAAAGATTTTTTGAGATGTACTTGGCAGTGGGAAGCAACATTGTCTACTTCTAATTTTTTCTAATAGATATGTACTTTTACTAAGATTTTCACGCCCGAACAAATATATGCCACTAATAGGATGTGCGTGTATAAATTTCTATTGGTCTCCATATACTTATCTACTGGAGTTTGTGATTAAAAAATGTCACAATCTTCTCCGACTTTGGCTCTTTTCAATTTTTGTACCTTTAATGTGCAGTTACTTGGGAGGACAATTAATTTGAGAAGCTTGATCACTGAAAGGATGAACAAAATTTTGAGAGAGAATCTCGAGTTTCTCTTTGATCGTTTCGAGTCTCAGGACCTATGTGCTATAGTGGTAAGTAGGTTCACTTTTTCTCTTGTTCTTCTTATCAATAAGAAATACTTTCTGTTTTCCTGTTGTTTAACAGAGGAGACATGTGATATATGGCTTCAGGAATTGGAGAAGTTGACGGACGTTTTAAAGCATGCCCATGGTTTGCTGTCAATGGATATTTCAATTGACTCATTCAGTCTTATGTTGAATGAGATGCAAGAGAACATATCTCTCGTGTCATTTTCTAGTCGACTTGCTTCTCAGGTTTAGTATAGTTTTCTTCCTTACTCTAATATGCTAGTCTTGCGTCATTTAGAGACACCTAGTTTTAAATTCTCATTACAAGAACGAAATAGATCATCAATATATGTTATCTCTCGATAGAAAGTTTTTACTGGGTAGGAAACTAGGAAATGGAAAGTTTGGAATTTTGAATCATTTGTTGCCAGTTTTGTTTTAATCAAGCTGCGTGTCTGTCAGATATGGTCAGAGATGCAAAATGACTTTCTGCCGAACTTCATCCTTTGCAACACTACCCAGAGATTTATCCGATCATCAAAGGTTCCACTTGCACCCGTGCAAAAGCCTTCAGTTCCCTATGCAAAGCCTAATTTCTATTGTGGTACTCAAGTAAGAACCTATTCTCTCCCAACTTGCTACTGTCTCTCTCTCTCTCTCTCTCTCTCTCTCTCTTTTTGCAATGATTTAATTTCTAAATGCTTTTACCATGACAATCTTAGTTTGTTCAATGGTTGCTTTTGACGTGACAGGATTTAAATTTGGCTCATCAAAGTTTTGCACGGTTGCATAGTGGATTCTTTGGAATTCTCCACATGTTCTCAATTGTCAGGCTCCTAGGATCTAGATCTCTTCCTTGGCTCATTAGAGCTCTTCTAGATCACGTATCAAATAAGGTATTCTCCACCCATATTTGTGCAATCCATCTTCCAATTCATAACCCTACTTCTATGAGTATCTTTAAAGGGAAATGTAAAAAACCCCGACTACATACATGAAAGTTGGCTTTATCAATTAACAGAAGAAAGTGAAGTTATTAGCCTAACATTTCATGTATGCTTGCTTCAGATAACTACACTTGAACCAATGATTGCGGGATTGCAAGAAGCACTGCCAAAGTCTATTGGATTACTTCCTTTTGATGGAGGCGTGGCAGGTATATGATATATTTTAGTTAACGGTTTCTTTTGTCAAATTAGTTTATAACAGTAAATATCCTTGGTTTTGCTAAAATGTCTCGAGAGTAGTCTTTGAAATTGGACTGGAGATGCTTAAAACCTGTTGCATGTTCCAAAATTAGAACGCTGGTAATAGTCAAGATGGTCATAATGGAAAATATTAATTTTGTGAAACCTACTGTTGGCTTGTGGTGTTTAAATGAAGCGAAAACTATAGCATTTTCTTTGATATCAAACGTGATTCTTATGTGTCCCTCTAACACCCTTCCATTTCCTTTCCCTCCCCTCCTCTCCCCAATCGTGTTGGAGACATCTTTCTTATGGTGTGAAGATTTCTCTATGAACAGGTTGTATGAGACTTGTTAAAGAACATCTCAATTGGAGAACGAAATCAGAGCTAAAGTCGGAGGTTCTTCGAGGGATAAAAGAGATTGGAAGTGTGTTATATTGGATGGGTCTCCTCGATATTGTATTGGTTGGTATCCCACATTCCTCCTGTGTATCATTTTACAAAAGTCTGTTACATATCAGGGATGCTTAAACCAAAACTTTATTGTAAAGTTAATTTTGCCTATCAAGTAAAATGTGCTTCAGTATATGTGGATCAATGGATCCTAACTAACACATTACTTAGGGGTTTTTAATATTTTTATTTTTTATTTTTATTTTTTATAAATCTTTCTGGCTACTTAAATCTTATTGTTGCAATCTCACATGCCGAACAGAGAGAGGTAGATACCTCGCACTTCATGCAAACAGCCCCTTGGTTAGGGTTGCTTCCTGGTCCAGACGGGCAAGTATTGCATTCTCAAGATGGTGGAGACAGTCCTATCGTCAGTCTCTTCAAATCAGTCACTGCTGCAATTGTGTCTAATCCGGGATGTAGAAATCCAATCTCTTTCAACATCCTCTCAAAACAGGCAGAAGCCGCTGGTATGCAATTGAACATTCAGTGTCTGAAAAACTTACTGAATGCAGATATGCATGTATTTGAGTATCCTCCAATTTTGATGCACTACTACTTTGAGCTTTTGGAATGTGACAAATGGTTTCCGAGTTAAGTTCTTGTTAAATTTTGACAAACTAATGTGACTCTTGCCTTATGTACTAAGTTCTCCTATTTATTTATTCCTTTTTGGAAAAAGATAATGCCAACATTCATTACTTTTTTTCCCCCCTTACATAGAGCTCTTCAAATTTTAATCCGAAGTTAGTGTAATCTCCGAGAAAGTGAAATTTTTAATCTAAACATTTTCATCCTTTAATAGCAATAGTTATATGATTCTCTGCTGCCTTAAATCATGTGTGTTCTTGGTTCATTATCTTTATGCTACTTCATTTAAGAGATAAACTGTCTTCCTTCTATTACAGATCTTTTATACAAGGCTAACATGAATACTGGAAGTGTGCTCGAATATGCCCTTGCTTTTACAAGTGCAGCACTGGATAAGTGTTGCAGTAAATGGGGTGCTATTCCCAAAACAGGGTTTGTTGACATTACGACTTCTAAGGATTTCTACCGAATATACAGTGGCCTTCAAATTGTAAGTTATCCTAGATCTTCGTATTGATCAACTTTGTAATTTGTGCATGTTAGTGCATTCTCACTCAATCCCAATAAAAATATACCATAAATTTGAAAACCACATGTACTGTCTTCCTGCTAACTTGTTCTGATTCTTGAACTGCAGGGATATCTGGAAGAGTCTGTTCTAGCATCATCAGGCAACCATGAAGAGCTGGGTGATTCAGTGGCTTGGGGTGGTTGCACCATAATATATTTGCTCGGCCAGCAGCGACATTTTGAGTTGTTTGATTTTTCGTATCAAGTTCTCAATGTTGCAGAAGTGGAGACCGCATCGACCACACAATCACTTAGGAACCCTCATTTTGTCCAGGTACGAGAATTAGACGGAATATTCATTTATCTAATTCGTATTTTTTTAGTCAAGGAATTCTAACTAGCTAGATTAGGTTACAAATTCAGCTCACTATCTCGTTCCGGTCCATAGAAATTAGTCCACAAGTAAACTAGCGGTGTGTTGAAAATAGGTACATTTTGGCCTACAATTCTAGTTTCTGTTCTTACTTCTTTTTCCCCTTTCAATTCTTCTGTGACTAAGGGATGGGAGGTCCTAATAGAATCAATGAAGAAGGCGAGGAGGTTGAACAATCACGTATTCTCCATGTTAAGAGCGCGGTGCCCTCTTGAAGACAAAACAGCTTGTGCCATCAAGCAAAGTGGTGCCCCTATACACCGAATCAAGTTCGGCATTCGAAACACTACCACAGAAAGGGGCGTGAGCTCTGAAGAAGCTCACAATTATGGCGACTTCCATGGCGTTTTCTATGCATTCTTTGTATTTACCTATTTAAAGGTTGTCGAGTTGGGTTTTTTTTTTTTTTTTTTTTTTTTTTTTTTTTTTTTTTTTCTGAGAATGTAATGTTTCAGTTACACACACTAGTATGGAATTCAATGGTGTGTATATGAGAAATTGAGACTTAGGGAAGGTCGAGAGAGATAGAGTGGCATCTAGCTTTTATTTCTGATAATGAGTCGTCGATGAAATGCGCATTCTTCTGGTTGTCAGATGCACCTTTTCTCAATAAGAAATCCACATTGAACACGTGCATCATAGTTAGTCAGATAAGTACGAGATTTAAAACGAGAGAATTTTTGCCACATTCGGATCAAAATCATGCACGCGCGTACACTCTCCTGCCGTGCAAATAATAAATTGACAATAACAGATAAACAGATACTTCTTCCCATCTGCCTCGAAAATGGTACTTTTAATGGTCTCTGTTAGGTATTTTTAGAGAGAAAGAAGGAAATAGGCTAAGACTTAAAATGAATTAAAATTAATAGGTCAATAGTTTACATAAGTTAATAAATAGGTCAAATTAATGTTTTCGTCCATAACTTGTCTGGTTATGAACCATAACTTGACAAGTTATTGTCTATAATTGTCCATAACTTGTCTAGCTATGAACCATAACTTGATAAGTTTGTTCATAACTTATCTGATTATGAACCATAACTTGACAAATTATGATCTATTAATTTCTATAACTAAAAATTAGCCTATATACTTTTTTAAGCTTTTCATATTGGCTTATTTTCTACTATTTTTCGCATTTTTATTAGTTGGCAATGTATTGGCAATCTTGTAAAAATTCAAAAAATAAGTTCAAGAAGTTTTCAGATTGCAGAAGAAGATTTCAAATCAGATTTAAAGTTAAAGTTGCAGATTTTGTTGAGTTGAAATTTGGAGAGATAAGAATAAAACTTTGGTCAAAAGAATATAAGTCATTGGTTATTTGAATTTAAATGAGAGATAAAGGTTGCATGAAGATCAAGTTATTTTTGGATTTGAATTCTTGGCTTCATCCGATTATTGTTAGGAGAGTTGAATGACTTATATATATATATATATATATATATGTATATATTCACGTGAGCTACACAATTAAGCTTGAGCTGCACATGAGAATTGGAACTTGAAATTTGACTTGGTCAAAGAAAAGTCAAAGATAACTTGCTATAATGAAAGATAAGGCATTGACGTGGAGATGGCTAAGAGAATATTAGATGTTGCAGATAAAGCTGAGGAGGATTTTTTGGTAACTGAATATAGGTTCAAAAGTTGAAAAAGGAGATACGTGGAATGGGTTTATATGGGAAGTGGCTCTGCAGGAAAAGGTGAGTTGACTACAGGAAAAAGTCTTGTGATAGAGAATCGGTGCTTAAGGAGAACAATCTGTAGTTTATGTTTTTTCTCATTGAAAGTATGAACAACTAAAGGAAGTTCAGCAGTTAAAGGTGAAGACGTGTGGTACACGCTAAACAGTGTCATTGTGAGAGTTCATCACAGCGGCGTCATAGTCTAGGAGGGAGTCCTTGAGTGAATAAGTCCGTCAAGGTTGTAATTCTTAAATCATAGTGAAACTGTTTACTGTCTGGGCGTGGCCCTACAGAGTAGGTGTGCGCACCGAATTGCGATATCATATTATGTGTTCCTTTACTTTCTACACTTTATTTTACTCGAACAACTGATCAATCATTGAAATTTCTGAATTCTTTTTGTTCCCTTGTGTTAGTTAGAGTGAAGTGAAGCACGCATGTAGGGCAGGAACGAATAAGATAACCTAGCGAGTAAACACCCCACTATTTCAGTAATGAAAAACAGGGGTTCATCACTTATTTATCTTAATCTCTACCTCCACTCAGAATTACCACCTTAAAGATACTTGTTAGCGGGCGGCAGTGGGGTTTATTTGCTGCAGCCTCTCTCTCATCTGGATTTTCTCAGTGAGACCTGAGACGAAGAGAGATGTCTATCTATTTTATTTAGTTATTCAGTTAAACCAATGATTCGTTATTGTAGCAGATAGCAAGAACCATTTCATCCGGGAAAAGCCATCTTTTTCTCAACAATGTCTTTGTCATTTGATCCAATAGCGTTCTACAGTCTCAATCAAGGTTATCACGTTTTCAACAGATAATTATCGTATTTAAGGTCACCTCCTACTTAAAGTTACTGCCGTTTGCAGTACATGCCTTTTTTTAGTCTATTGTGTATCATCAATGTGGTTGTTTATATTACAGGTTTTTCATCTTAGTAAAAGTAATTGCTTTTTTCTAATTGTTATTATTATTATTATTATTATTATTATTTTAAGTCTTTGTCCTTAAGTTTTTTGTCTTTTTCTAAATTTATTGTCGTTTGTCAGACACATAAATGTCATTTTCGTTTGTCAAAAAAAGTTGTCGTTACTAGGTCAATGGTGTTTTTAGTACACTGGTGTTTTGTTAAAGTGTCATAACTAATTGTCAAGTATGTTTGATTTCATTTTACTTGCAAAAATAAATAAATAAATAAAAATAAGTATGTTTTATTTAGTTTAAAATTTAGTCGTTTTGGGGTATTTGTTTTAATAAGTTGTCGTTTTTGATATGTTTGTCTTAGTCAGAGTGTCGACTTCTAGAATATTGTCGTTTGTAAGAGACACGTCCCTCCCATCATAACATTATTGTCGCTTGCAATAGAAGTTACCGCTTTAAATTTTGTTGTCATTTTATGTAGTTATCGTTTATGCCTCTTTTTGTCGTTTCTATTCATTGTTGCTGTACGGGATAGTTTCAAGATGTAGCTCTATTAAGGTCTTTCTTCCATATTTTTTTTTTTTCCTTTTGTTGAGTCGCTCAAAATTGACCATCCCAAAGTTAGTTCTCTAAAGTTTTAGACTTAATAGTTCTTGAAGTGTATGGTTGTTCTTAGAATATATTGTGGTCACTTTCGTTTGCAGGAAATATTGTCGTTTCAATTTTTTTCTGTCGTTGCATGGGATATAAGTTTTCAAGCTGTCGTCGTTCTTCATTTTTTTCCCTTTATATTTTCGTATTGATTGTTTTCCCGGTCTTGGTCTTTCTTCTTTAGCAAATAGTGCTTCAGGTTCAGCATATATATGTTGTTATCGTGTTTTCTTACTCGTCATCAGACAACAGTACTTTTTTTTCGTTTCAATCATATCCCAGAAGTCGCTTTTCTCCTTCAACAAGCCTTAACTATATATATATATATGTATGTATGTATATGTATGTATGTATGTATGTTTCCTCCGTCCTGGGAATAGGAATCTGCAAGGCGCAGTAGAATACTGAAAAAAAAAATGGCAGTTGGAAGCTAGTTTATCATTATATACAGACGAACTTTCAAGCGGAAGATGGATATTCGTTATTCTTAATTGTTTTAAATAACAATTTTTTCCCGAATATATGGCTATTTGGTGTGAACATGGTTACAATTTTGCTCCATTTATTGATCATGATCATTCTAAAATGTCCTCGTTCACTCACCAGTTTAATAAAACATTTTGATCAAAAACGAATATAAAAGCTATAAGCATATTGTACACACATGCAATAATAAACCATGTGGATTGATGCCTTTCCAGCCAGAGGTAGGGTGAGGTGTAAGCGATAATATGATAGGATTGGCTGTACAGAAGTTAGCTTGCCATCGAAAAATAAAAAAATAAAAAAATAAAAAAGGTATTATATAATCCTAAGAACTTCCTCTACATAGACAACATTTAGTAGGAGCTACTGGTATTATTATATCTCTTTATATGCTCTTTTTTATCAACCAGTTAATAGTTATAAATTAGGAAACTTTAGAGTATTCAAAGTATATATACCTGCACTATTACTTTAATTTATACATTGACAACCTTAATATATCAATGGAAGTTGATGATTTAATGGGATATGATTTTTAAGCTTATATTAGGTTCTTTGAAAAGAAAACTATATTCAAAGACTTTCAAACTGTGATAATGTATATTATTAGCAATTACAAACTGATGATAAATCAACAACAACAAATACTATTAGAAATTTTGTTGCAATGATTACACTAGATACGAACAATAAGACTAACAGTTTTCTTGATCGATATTAATGATCAACCTATTGAGCTAGTTAAAGATGATGATATGAGAGGGAACAAAAAATATATACTTTACAATATTATTCTGGAGCTTAATTATTAAAGGTGAAAATACTAGATCATTTATTTATTTATTTATTTTTTTGGCTTTTTCACAAAAATTGTAAGAAAAAATATATATATTGTTCGTTTAAGTCAGCAAGCAAACCAAGTAACACCACTTGGAGTATTAATTAGCATATTATTGGCAAAGTGGATGTCGCTTCCTTGTGCGTTGGCCAGCCAAACCTAATCTCAAACCCCCTGTGATTAGTTTTCTGTTAGCCTATCAACTATTAAGTGCACTTTCAAATCTTAACCAATTATTGACTTCCAACATAAATTCAATGTATATCCTTAATATTTTACACACAAAATGAAAAATACAAAGATATATTGAAAAGTTTAACAACAGGGAAAATATGCATATTAATTCTACATGTGTACCACCAATAAAGTACAAATTAAAAAAAAAATTGATCTTTAAGTTATTGGTTTCATATGTATTACTTAATGGTTAGTGGCAATCATCCAAATCCACTTGAGGACTACTTGAAAAATGCAAAAAGTTTGCACCATAAAATAACAGTATTACCCACCTTTGGAGGACCCTACCAATTATATTTTTGACCCGTTTAGTTCGCTGGTTTAAATTGCGTTGATTTGAACTTTTTTTATTTGAACATAAAAAATTCAAACAGTAGTTTGAATTGACGTTTAGTTGTGTATTTAAAGTTTTAATTCGAATAGTTTGGATGACAATTAAGAACTGTAATTTTAATTGAAAAATATAATGCATAAGAAATAATACAATGCCTACAAATTTATTAAAGAAAAGTTTTCTAAATAATAACATTTTTTAATTGGGTAGCAATTTTTGAAAAAAAAAAAAAAAAGATAATGCACAACAGGAGGCATAATTGGGTAGCTTTTCTTACCCTTTTTTTTAAAGGGTTTTTTTTTTTTTGTCTTTTTTTGAGTAAAATTTATCTATATAGTAATTAAATTTTTTGAATTAGGCTGAGTTAGGCGGAATTGTCCAACCAAACAGGGGCATTGTAAGTGAACAAAACACTTCTCTTTGGATAGGGAAGGGGAAGCAGCCAAGCAACATTATAGGACTCGTGGAGTAAAGCCTAATTAACATTTTCTTATATCAGAGTTAGAAAAAAAAAAAAAAAGGGGGGAAAAAAAGTAGTGGACTATAAAAACGTGTTTGCCAAACTTAGAAAAAAAAAAAAAAAAAACAACGTGTTTGGGAAAGTCGTCAGCAGTGACAACATGTGCAAATTATACAGTAATAAAAATTTTGTGTCAGCATTCATGTTCTTAAGTTGGAATCGCCATACTCAAAGGTATAAAAATGAGAAGATTTTGTAAACTAATGCCTTGAGTCATCGTCAGCCTACAAATGTTACAGGAAGACCCAAAAAAAAAAAAAAAAAAACATTCAGCGTTTCTAATATATTATAGGCTCGTTCATTTTATCGATTCGAGTTTTCAATTTTAAATTTTTACAGTAAAAATTCTTAGAAAATGTCACATCTAATTTTTTCTGCTACAGTGAAAAACTTTAAAAAAATGTCACATCTCAGCTCGAATTGAAAACTCGAATATGTATATCCACTATTCTACACCCACTTGAGCAGCGTACGAGTCAAATCTAAGTTGAAAGAAAATTCTAAAACAATGATATAACATATATTCTATTTTTGTAGTACATAATATATATTCCTACACGTAATATATTGGGTTTTTAGGACAATTTCCCCCGCAATAAGTTTAGCAAATTGTCTCTTAAATTTTTAATTTTAACAATCAACCCCCGAACTTATAAAAATATTGCAATATGTCTCATTTTATTAAATTTACTCTAATTTTTTTATTAGATTTAAAGGATTAAAAGTTGAGAAACTAAAAGATTTATGTCACATTTGAATTGAAATGTTGAAACTTTTTGTCAAATGTGTTTTTTCAACACTAATTTAACCTAATCATTGTCAAAAAAGGTTGAAGGAACAACTTGCCAAAATTAAAAATTTAGGGAGCAAATTGTTAAAACTAAACAAGTTTAGGAAGCAAATGTGCTAAATATCCTAATATATTATACATTAAAATATAGTCATGAATACTTACATCAATTAGTGGCGCACTCATTTTTTTTTTTTTTCCATTTGAGTTACTATGAAAAAAATTAAACAATTTTTTATTAAAATATAATGACGTATTAAATTTTTATGAGCTCACAATAGTTTTCCTAATATAAATTTTAAAGATAAAAACTAGAATTTCAAAATTTAAGTGCGGCATGTACCTTATTCATCTTTATGTGGCTTTGCAACTGATAGTGATTATGCCTAATGTATAACTATTGTTCAAAAACTTAAAGTTGCAATGAGGGCTTAGAACTGTTCAAACGAACAGATATATATTATGTTACGTACAGTCTAATCAAATTATCAAACAAATCAGTTAGCTCTGACAAGTCCATGGAGATCAGATAAAAATTTGACTTGTTACAAAAATGCTACAGTCTCACAAAGTTATAGGGGGATAAAAGGAAAAAAAAAAAAAAACACCCTTTCACTTTGGATTCTTGCAAATAGAAAGGAAAATTTGATACTAGTTTGTAATTTCCATAATGGGACCTTTTTAAATTTTGGGAACTAGAGGGGTTAGAGAAACAGAATTACCTTCCGAACTTATCGTGGTTTAACAAATTGCTGTTCAAATTTTTAATTTTGATAAGTTACTCTCTGAACTTGTAAATTTATTGCAATGTGCCCCATTTAACTAAATTTGTTCACAATTTTTATTAGATTTAAGAGGTTAAAAGTTGAGATATTGAAATATTTGTATTACATTTGAATTGGAATGTTAAAATTTTTGGCTGAATATGCTTTTTTGACACTAATTTAATACAATTCTCGTCGAAATGGGGCATATTGTAACAAATTTATAAGTTAAAGGGGTAACTTATAAAAAGTAAAAGTTTTGAGAGTAATTTACTAAATTACGACAAGTTTAGGAGGAAAATGTGCTAAAAACTCAAAGATAAATATAAAAATTGTAAGAAAAAAAAAACAGTTTCTGTCACCTTGGTGAAGGAAGCACTAAAGTATTATAATATGGAGGAGAAAATAGAGAGAGATTAGAGTGCATGTTCATGCTTTGTCGGCCATGACAACCACGATGTGTCAAAACTCTTTCTCAAAACCTTATGATTCACACAAAGTGGGATTTCCCTAATCATTCCTTAGAGGACAAAATAATCACTTGGCTTTTTATTTTTCTTTATCATCATCATTAGAAGAAAAAGTGGAGAAATATTCATTGCAATTGACTTATATCTGAAGAACAGGACTCGTTGTATTATTCAAAGCACTAGTCTTTTATCTTCAGTCCAAAGCAATGACCAAGTTTCCCCAGTAAACGTATTTCTGGTAAACTAAAAAAAAGTCTTTATAGTTCTTGGTGGTTCAAACTCTTTTGGTGGCTTCTTTCTCTTTTCTGTTATTGGTCATCTTATAATATGAGGTATGCCAAATATATCTCCTCATCCTTGTAAAATTCTCCAAGTTGTGGGATTGTTTCAATTCCTATTTGAATCTTCAGTACACTTCTATTCCTTCATGTATGTATGTATGTGTGTGTGTAAATATTTCTTGAGCTGTATAAAGTTTTGTTTCTGAAGAACTTTGAGAGGTGATAATTGATTATTTTTGTTCAATCAAGTTCATGTTGTGCAAATCCATGATGAGTATGAAGAAAAAACTACATACTTTGTTGACTCTACTTCTTGTACTGGCTTCCCTTCTGGTTTATGAATCCGAGGGGCTTAATACTGAGGGTCAATACCTGTTAGAAATAAAGAGAAGCCTTGTTGATGTATTTAACTACCTGGGAAATTGGAATTCCAGTGATTCCACACCTTGTGGATGGAGAGGAGTGCGTTGCGGCAATGACTATTATTACGATCCAGTCGTAGTATCTCTCGATTTGAGCTTAATGAATCTCACCGGTTCTTTGTCGCCGATGCTCGGTGGATTGGTTCACCTGACTCATCTTAGTGTTTCCAACAATGCATTGTCTGGGAACATACCTAAAGAGATTGGAAGCTGTTCATCTCTAGATGTCCTTCTCCTTAACAACAATAACTTTGAAGGTCAAATCCCACAGGAAATAGGCAAACTTTCTTACTTAACAGTCTTGAATCTGTGCAACAACAAACTATCTGGGCCTTTCCCTGAAGAAGTTGGGAATCTTTCATATCTAACCGAGTTGATTGCCTACACAAATAATCTTAGTGGACCTTTGCCAAGTTCATTTGGGAATCTTAAAAACTTGACAACTTTCAGGGCAGGTCAAAATAAGATAACAGGAAGCTTGCCTTCTGAGATAGGTGGATGTACTAGCTTGCAATTACTTGGTCTTGCTCAAAACCAGTTGAATGGAGAAATACCAAGAGAGATTGGAATGCTCAGGAATTTGACAGATTTGATCCTTTGGGATAATCTGCTTTCTGGGGTCATTCCAAAAGAGCTTGGAAATTGCACAAACTTGGGGACTCTTGCTCTTTACCAGAACAACCTTGTGGGGGAGATTCCCAAGGAAATTGGAAACCTTGTTTTTCTAAAGAAGTTGTACCTTTACAGAAATGGGTTGAATGGGACAGTGCCTAGAGAGATTGGTAATCTTTCATTAGCGAAAGAGATTGACTTTTCGGAGAACTTGTTGACTGGTGAGATATCAATGGAGTTCAGTAAGATTTCAGGATTGAGATTGCTTCATCTTTTTGAGAACCAATTTCAAGGCCCTATTCCGAAAGAGCTCACAAGCTTGGAAAACTTGACACAGCTAGATCTCTCTATCAACTTCCTCACTGGCCCAATTCCCGTTGGCTTCCAATACTTGACCAAATTGACCATGCTGCAAGTGTTTCACAACTCACTCAGCGGCATCATTCCTAAAGCGCTCGGGCTGTATAGCCCGCTTTGGGTGGTTGACTTGTCAGAAAACCAACTAATGAGAAGGATTCCCCGTCATCTTTGCCGATATTCGAACCTGATTTTTCTAAACTTGGGCTCAAACAGGCTCACTGGAAGCATCCCACCTGAGATCACAAGCTGCAAATCCTTGGTGCAGCTTCGTCTAGTCGGAAACAACCTTACAGGGAATTTTCCATCCAATCTGTGCAGATTGGTGAATCTCTCGGCGGTTGAGTTGGATCAGAACAAGTTTAGTGGCTCCATTCCTTCAGAAATAGGCAACTGCAGAACCTTGCAAAGGCTTCAACTTGCAAACAACCGTTTCACTTTTGAGTTGCCAAGGGAAATTGGAAAGCTTTCGCAGTTGGTGATATTTAATGTCTCCTCGAATTCTCTTTCGGGAAGGATACCTCCCGAGATTTTCAATTGCAGCATGCTTCAGCGGCTAGACCTTAGCCACAACAACTTTTCTGGTAGCCTGCCAAGCAATATTGGAACGCTTAAGCATCTGGAGCTTCTCAAGCTTTCCGATAACGACCTTTCTGGGGAAATACCAGTCTCCACAGGAAGTCTCTTGCGTTTGACTGAGCTACAGATGGGCGGCAACTCGTTTTCGGGCGGCATACCAGCTCAGTTGGGCTCCCTTTCGAGCTTGCAGATCGCGCTGAATCTCAGTTACAACAATCTCTCTGGGGAGATTCCTCCAGAGCTTGGAAGGCTAGTTCTTTTGGAATATCTTCTGCTCAACAACAACCATTTGATTGGTCAAATTCCAGGCTCTTTTGAGAATCTGTCAAGTTTACTAGGCTGCAACTTCTCGTACAACGAGTTAACGGGGCCCTTACCGAATCTACCGCTCTTTCAGAATATGGCTATTAGCAGCTATGTTGGGAACCAAGGACTCTGTGGTGGCCCACTCGGTGTCTGCAAAACACCTCCCTCTTCACTCTCTTTTCCTTCAGACGCGACAAAGAAGCATACCCGTATAGGTGAAATTATTGCTATAGTTGCAGCGTCCGTCGGAGGGGTTTCTCTCATTCTAATTGGGATCATCATCTATGCCATGAGCCGTCAGGTCGACATTGTTGCTCCATTGCAAGAAAGTAAGCCATCAAATTCTCCGGTTTCGGATATCTACTTCTCCCCGAAGGAAGGATTCACTTTTCAAGACTTGGTAGAAGCCACTGACAATTTTGATAACAGATTTGTGATTGGAAGAGGAGCTTGGGGAACTGTTTACAAAGCAGTTTTGTTCAATGACCGTACAATTGCTGTCAAGAAGTTGGCATCCAACGGGGAAGGAAACAAAGTGGATAATAGCTTCCATGCTGAAATCCTGACCTTGGGAAAAATTCGGCACAGGAATATTGTGAAGCTATACGGTTTCTGCTATCACCAGGGTTCCAATCTCCTGCTTTATGAGTACATGTCAAGAGGCAGCCTTGGGGAGTTGCTCCATGGAGTTTCCTGCAGTCTTGATTGGCGAACGAGGTTCTTGATCGCCCTCGGAGCGGCTCATGGCCTTGCTTACTTGCACCATGACTGCAAACCTCGGATTTTTCACCGCGATATAAAATCCAACAACATTCTCCTTGATGATAAATTTGAAGCTCATGTTGGGGATTTTGGACTGGCAAAGGTGATTGACATGCCACAGCCTAAGTCCATGTCTGCAGTTGCAGGTTCATATGGTTATATTGCTCCCGGTAAGTTCTCTTTCTGCCCTTCTATGTTTCTTAACGTGTTTACATTGCTAATTATTATTCCAAGTTACATTCTTAGTATTAGGGATAACCGGGACAATGGCCTTTTTTCAAAAGCATCGTTTTAATAAATGTTCAAAGTTTTGCTAATTTAGGAAAATGGTTATTTCTAAAAACATGATTGGTTGATTGACTCATTGATCAATCATTGATTTACCAATATTAGTCAGTGTTTAATTTTTTTGCCAGTCAATCAGTCTGATTGACCAACACATCAACCATTTTAGTAGTCAATGGTCATTTTCCACATGTATGAGTTACTAGTCTACGCTAGTTGTAACTGACTTGTATAAAATCTTCAATTTCCAGAATATGCATACACTATGAAGGTCACAGAAAAGTGCGACACATATAGCTATGGAGTTGTTCTTTTGGAGCTACTAACAGGAAAAACACCAGTACAAGCAGTAGAACAAGGTGGTGATCTTGCGACATGGGTGAGAAACTATGTCCAGAAACACAATTTGTCGCCGGGAATTATCGATTCTCGCGTAAATCTAGAGGAAGAGAATACCGTCTCTCACATGCTCACCGTCCTCAAAATCGCCCTGCTTTGCACAAGCACGTCTCCCTTAGAGCGTCCAACAATGACAGAAGTTGTTCGGATGCTTATAGAGTCCAATGAAAGGGAAGGACATCTTGATTTGTCCTCGGATCATGATACCAGGTTAAATGGATGAACCCCTTTTCATTGCATATATTTCTATTGTTTTTTGTCCACCAGTAATGTATGAGCTTTTAACGGTTCATTCCTCCTTGTACAATATTATAATTTTTTTTTCCCTGTCTTAAGATAAGGTTTAAGGTTTAAAAATCAATGTTTCAGCTCAAACACGACTCAAATAGTATCTCCTCCTTGTATTATATAACCATAAGAAGTGAAAAGTTTCTTAAATAGAAGAAACTTTCTTGTAAATCCTAGCATTATATAGCAATAAAAGCTTTCTTCCATGTTTTACTAGTCTATGTTAGTCTCTTAGTTTTTAAATTCTTTTAGCATTAACAGTCAACAAATTGTTTCATTTTAGCCATTGAAAAGCTTATGTTGTCCTGCTATTTTGATTTATATAGTGATGTTATTTATGTAATACTGCTAATGTGGGCAAAATGTATACGTTCCTGGAGTTTGCTAACTATATCAACGTAACAAGTTTAATTGTTTATAGGCAATTTCTTACTATTTCCTTTCAATTAATCTATAATCATTAAAAAGAAAAAAAATAAATTTTTTTGGTAAAAAGAATCTCGAAATACAAGGATACCAAATTTTAAAATCACAAAATATCATTTTAATAATTTTAAAACAGCAAATTTTCCTAATAAGTTGCATTTATAAACTTCCTAACAATGAAAAAACAGAAAACCCAATTCTCTTGGTAAAAATTGAATTTAAAAAAAAATGAAGAAGAAACATATCAATCATTTTAAAATAATTTATACGTAACAAACTTACATAGTAACTATTTATCTATACTAATTTATCAATATTAATTTTTATCGTTCATAAAAATTTTAAATTTTTATTATATTTCAACATTTGTTTAGTAAAATTTTTACTATGTCTAGAAAATTAGAGAAGCTTTATGGTGGAACACGCTATTTTAGTATACCGGTAGAATAATTATTTTTGACCTTTAGATTAATTTTTTAATGGTGTAGGTCCTATTAAAAATTTTATAGCACACCACACGTAACTGTTCAGACTGTAAATCTGACTGTTAAAAAATTAATCTAATGATAAAAACATAATTCTCACCAGTACAGTAAAATAGTTTTGCTCTACCATAAAAATTCCTCGAAAATTATTAACCCCGTTTGGTTCGTTGGTTTGAATTTTGTTGATTTGAACTTTTTTATTTTAAGAGAAAAATTTAAACTGTATGGTTTAAATTGTAGTTTGAATTGACTTTTGGATGTGAAGTTAAAATTTTAATTTGAATAGGAATAAAAATTTGTGTTCGGTAGGTGTGAAAAGCATAGAGAGTTGGATTTTTTTTTACTGTTTAAAAATGGTGTGAATCGTTGAATTTAAGGGGGAAGCTAAACTCTAAAGTTAGACAATTTAACTCAATTTAAACGGAAAATATAATTCAAACTGAGTGCTTACTAAACACGAGTTTAAACTGTGTTTACTATTCGAATTGAATTGAATTAAACTGAACTAAATCAATAAAACAAATAAGGACAAAATTCTTTGAATGATAATTTTTATAAATACCTCTTAAAATATGTATCATATTTCAAAATACATCATAATATTTTAAAATGATTTAAAATACCCTTAATTTATTAAAAACGGTTCAAAATACCCCTATGTCTAATTCCGTCTACAATGCTAACGAATTTGCTCACGTAGCAAGATGTAAATATTAGTCAAAGCCATTATATTCTAATTAAATATTAAAATGATTAAATGTTAAAAAAAAAACAAAAACAAAAACAATAAACAGTGGTCCCATTATTCTTTTGCGAATTGAAGAAGATTTGCACACTGGATTATTACCATATTTGAACGAAGGCTTTGGAGAAAAAAAAAAAAAAAAAGAAAAAAAGAAAAAACCCCGCCATATCAATACCATTTAAACCAGAAAAATTTTTAATCATTCTTAAAAAGTTCAAGTTCTACAATTACTTCCAATCCATAAATTCATGGAAAATTCAAATTGATCCGAGTATGGTAAGTCGCAAACTTGTAGCCGATCCAAAGACCCATACCCACTAAAATCCGTTCTGGCTATTCATTCTTAACAATTCAAGTTCCATAAATCTCAGTGCTTTCAATCTGGCTGTCTAGCATTTCTCACACTAAAAACTGACCAATTATTTTCTTTTCTTCAACGCAACTGAAACAACCCACCAGACACACTCTCTTTAAGCTTTGAAATTTAAGTTTAAATATGCTCTTTCTGCCATGGGTGGGTCAGCATGTACGGGTCAGTGTTCAATAACATGCTTTCCCCAAATATAGGCAGGGACAAATTACACTTGTCCTTCCTGAGTTATTGGCCCTGTAACAAAATATCTCTTAAATTTTCTTTCTGAATAATTAACCCGTTAGCATGTGTCTTTTTTTTTCACCCACTCGGTTATATTTGAACGTTAAGTGATACGTGAAAGTTGTTGAGGTATTTAATTTTTAATTTATTATGAAATGACGATTTTATCCATCCAAGCCCAGTTTAAGACTACTACGAACATATGATGATTTCCCTCTCCCCCTCTCTCCCTCTCATTCTCACTTCCTCTCTCTCATTCTTCTTTCTTTGCACGTGAAAAACCAAGCCCCACTGCCACTTTGAGCCGCCACTATCTAGTCTCCAACCGTCACCAAACGTCGACCACCCATGAACTCGAATCTCACCGCCATTCACATGCAAGAGTTGGTTAAAGTTTTGGTCCATTTTGTCTTCACACCGAATTCCAACACCATCTGACCTCCGTTTTGCTAGCAAGTTGTGCCATTATATTCCCCTCGTTGAGTGGAGCAACACCCCCATGATTACTTCCCCAATTGGTGTCCAAAGAGCTTCGATGTACCGCCTCCGTCTATTTTGAGTTTTGGACATTTTTCGGTGAACCGGACGTCATTTGGAGAAATTGACCCCGGATAAGTGTTCTTCACTTTGAGATCTTCGATTTGACACACATCCTGCCGACCCTCCATCCCGGTCAATGCCTGTCAACGGCAAATTTGACCGGTCAACGGCTGGGCTTGGATGGACAAAATCGCCATTTCATAATAGAATAAAAATTAAATGCCTTAGCGACTTCTACATGTCACTTAACGTTCAAAATTTAACCGAGATGACAGAAAAGAGGGACGCGTACTAACGGCTAATTGTTTAGGAGAAATTTATTATTTTTAAAATTTAAGAAGTATTTTGTTATAAGACCAATAATTCACAGGGACAAGTGTAATTTGTCCTATAAATTATTGAATAAACGCAAGAAGGTTGGATTAAACAAAAGTTTTTTCATTTAGATCCTTTATGTTGCATGAGCAAAACACTGAGGAAGACACCCGTCTCTTCGCCGATATGGTGATGAAATTGAATCTACAGAAGCTCGCTTCTGTCATCAAAGGGTTTGCATAAGAGTGACTCAGTAACAGGATTGACGAAGAAGTACGGGCCCATTCGGTTCGCTAATTCGAGTTTTTAGTTCGAGTTGAGATGTGATGTTGTGTGAGAGCTTTTTACTATAGCAAAAAAGTTAGATGTGACTGTTTCTGAGAGCTTTTTACTGTAGCAAAACTCGAATTCTAAACTCAAATCAGCGAAAAGAACGGGGCCGTATACTTTTTTTGGGTTTTTTTTGTTATTTTTTAAAATACTTTTTTTCATTGTTTTTATTATATAATCAATTATGTATATTTAATTATAATTTAATGGTTTTAATTGATTTTTATCTGCCACGTCAGTAAATCCGTTGGATGGTAGACAAAATTAAACGAAAGGGGTATTTTGAATCGTTTTGTATAGATCGAAGGGTATTTTACACAATTTAAAAAATTAGGAACACTTTGAAAACGATTAAAACACAGTTTCCACCAGTAGAGTAAAATAACTTTGGTCCACCGTAAAAATTCCTAAAAAATTTCGTTTGGTTCGTTGGTTCAAATTTTATTGATTTGAACTTTTTATTTGAACAAAAAAATTTAAACTGTGTGGTTTAAATTATAATTTGAATTAGCGTTTAGATGTGAAGTTGAAATTTTAATCTTAATAAGAATAAAATTTGAATTTGTGTTTAGTAAGTGTGAAAAATAAGAGAGAGTTGATTTTTTTTGTTGTTTAAAAATAATTTGAACGGTTGAACTTAAAAAAGAAATTAAATTTTAAAATTAAATAATTTAACTTAATTTAAATGAGAAATATAATTCAAACTCTATATTTATTAAACATGAATTTAAATTATGATCTGAATTAAATTAAATTAAACTAAATAGTGAAATAAATAGGGCTAAATTATTTTAACTTGTTTGGAGCGAAATTGGTCCCACTTCCAAATCCCAAGAAGTCCAAACACGGAACAAAAGTATTCAACAGAAGAGAGAAGAAGCGAAGCGGCGAACTTAGACGCAACATTGAACAAGTTGTAAAAAATGTGAATCTCATTAATATCTGCAGAAGATACGTGTCAGTCGTTAACCAAACGAGTTTACAGCCCAGCGGAAACACTTATCTTTTGCTTTTATTCGGCGGCTGATCAACGGTCCAGATCACATCTCACTCCCATCACCGAATCACCCACTTTCCACCTTATATAAACCCCCCCCACCCCCTTCTCTCTCTTCCCTCCACTCCACGCGCATTAAGGGAGAGACAGACAGACAAAGAAAGAAGGGAACTTACCCAAAAACAAAAACAAAACAAAACAAAACAAAACACCCAAGCAATCATTTTTGATTGCTCGGGAACAAAAACCAAAAGAAGAAGAAAAAAAAAAAAAACGAAAGCTAGGGTTTGGTTTTTGGGTGGAGATCGGAGTTTGATGGTTTTGATCGGAATCTGAAGAGATGGCGGTGATCTCTGTGCATGGCGAGGTTCGCCATCAGCAGCCGCAGGCGGCGGTGGCGGGATCTTCTCGGTCACTTTTCGCGGTGGATCGCGGCGATGAGGCGTCTCCGCACAGCCTGGTGACCTTCAAGGGTTCCGATTCCATCGAAGGTTCGTTTTGTGTCTCACATATTAGAATTTCGATTTTTGAAACTTGGTGATTTGTGAAATAGGAGTCGATTGGAGATGGAGGAAGAAGCGTGTTTTTTGTTTTTAGAGGAATTTTGAATTTTTGCTACTGCGTAGGAAAGTTATGGCTCTAATTGCGATTATTGATGTATTTTGTGCCTGATGATGTAGTGGATGAGGACACGCACTTAGCCCTAGCTCATCATATGTATAGGGCTGGAAACTACAAGGAGGCGCTGGAGCATAGCACGACTGTTTATGGGAGGAACCCTAATCGGACTGATAATTTACTTCTTTTAGGTGCTATTTACTATCAGGTTGTTCTCTAGTCCATACCTTTGCGGCGTCGATTTTCTTCGACTGTTTTTGCTTTTTAAGTAATTGCACGTAGTAATGGCTGAAAAGGCATTGCATAGCGGAATTTTAACTGAAAGTGTATTGAAGGTCTGATCATTGGTCATTTTTTGGTGGATTTTTCAGCTGCATGAATTTGACATGTGTATCGCCAAGAATGAAGAAGCCCTTCGAATTGAACCACATTTTGCAGAGTGCTATGGTAACATGGCTAATGCGTGGAAGGTATGTCAAATATTATTACCACGATGCGCCACTGGTATAATTTCTGTTGGTCCTATATTCTGTTATTTGATGAACATTTTCTGTTATTGATCAATTGGGTATTTCCTGAATGTAGGAAAAGGGCAATATTGACCTTGCAATTCGCTACTATTTGGTGGCCATTGAGGTTTGTGTATTCTTATAAATCCATGTTCTTGATTTTATTGGTTTCTTTATTAAGGTTAATGCATTCTATTTTTTATGTTCTTTTCCTGTCTTATTCTAAAAATTGTGTGTCGTGGCGCCGATTAACTCTGAGTTGTTGAACGATCTCTGATTTCATATGATTGCAGCTTCGACCCAATTTCTCTGACGCGTGGGCCAACCTAGGTAGTGCATACATGCGAAAAGGAAGACTTAACGAAGCAGCACAGTGTTGTCGTCAGGCGCTTGCACTCAATCCTGCTCTGGTAGGCTTGTCTTTTATTTGTTGTCCTCTTTTTAGTTTGCTTGTCTTGTAATGCTTCACTTACTGCTGCCTCATTTATCTACATCAACCCAGTTGGTTGTCATGCTTTCTTTTAGTGAATTGCTATTGTTGATTTGTGTTTTTTAATTTGCAAATAGGTTGATGCCCACAGCAACCTTGGAAATCTAATGAAAGCGCAAGGATTGGTGCAAGAAGTAAGTTCCTCCAAATAGAATACAGCATAATAGTATATCATTCAATTTTTGGGGTCTCTTTATACTTAGCGCACAGCTGGGTATTCAAATTTCTTGCATAGGATACGTGCTTGTACTTTGTGCTTGTCATCATGTGTAACAACTTTGATCAAGTTAGTTACTGCTATTATAGCTCTTTAGTGCTGATGGGAGTGATATCTCAGTAATTTGTACGCAGTTTGAGTTGATTGCCGAAACTCTTTTTCCTTCCCTGCCTAAATATGGGCTTGATGAGGCCTGGGAGGACCCTTCCGTATTTAACTTTTCATAATGCTACTTCCAATGCAAATGCTAATGCCAAAGTCATATTAGGCCCCAAAAAGCGTGAAAATGTCATATTTGATGTGTTATTTTTGTTTGTGCTCCAATGCATAATGCTTTTCTAAATGCTAAATCTATTTGTTGTCAAAATCATTATGCTTTGGAAGTTGTTAAATTAAACTTTTAATAATTTTAAAAAATAAATAAACTTCTAATTTTGAAATTATTTAAACTGCCAATGTTGTAATGATTAAATGAAAAAACAAATATATCATCAAATACAATGAAATACCAAAATTTGACATATGCTATACTTGGTGGCAGATTTGCCACCAAGTATAGCATATGCAAAATTTAGCACCAAGAATAGCATTAATTTGGCATTGGCACACTTTTAGAATTGCATTGGAGGTACTCTTACTGATGGAAGTAATTCATGTGTGGAACTGTGCTTGGATTCACAGTTTGATACAGATATCAAGTTGTTAGCTACAAACCAGGGCTCAGATGATGGTTGTTCTTGTTGTAACTTCCACTTCCAAGACTGCAAATTGTCAAGAATGTTAACATTTTATGCAGGCATACAGTTGTTACCTCGAGGCTCTTCGGATTCAACCAACATTTGCTATTGCATGGTCAAATCTTGCTGGTCTTTTTATGGAGTCTGGTGATCTTAATAGAGCCCTTCAATATTATAAGGTCTGCTTGTTCTTGTTTTCCTCAATCTTTACTTATCAATTCCCACGGGCAGAGCTATATTGGATTTTGAGCATTATTTTTATTTTTCTTTTTTAACAATCTATGCATATTGAAATGCATGCAGTTCCCTTGTTCCAACTGTTTTTCAAGGCGTGTTGATGATATCTTTTTATTTTTTCCCCTTAAAAAATTTTGGATTTCAGGAGGCTGTTAAGCTCAAACCTTCATTTCCAGATGCTTATCTGAACCTTGGGAATGTTTATAAGGTAAGTGTTATGCCTTGTGCCACTAAGGTTGGGTAGCTGCAAGTGCATGGACTCGTATTGGAGAAAAACAAGAATGTTTCTTTTGCCCTTTCCAGGCTTTAGGAATGCCTCAAGAGGCAATTGTATGTTATCAGCGTGCTTTGCAGACAAGACCAAATTATGCGATGGCTTTTGGTGAGTTTTGATCTATGTTGTGAATTGAAACTTTGTGTTTTCACTCCGTCTCAACTTTTACAATTTTTCCCCTTTTTTCCTTGATCGCATCATTTTCATGCTTTAGTGGGTCATGATCATTTATCCATTTCTTTGACTGTATGTTCGATCATATTATGCAGGTAATTTAGCTAGTACATATTATGATCAAGGCCAACTCGACCTGGCAATCCTTCACTACAAGCAAGCCGTTTCTGCTGATCCAAGATTTTTGGAGGCTTATAATAATCTGGTTGGTTTTCTTCTTCTCTTTGATGCTGGAGTGTGACTAGAAGACCTTGAAGTTGTCTTTTCATTCAATTTCTTTTACTGTTGTAGGGTAATGCTCTGAAGGACGTTGGCAGAGTCGAGGAAGCGATACAATGCTACAATGTATGTTCACTTCTCATCTTCTTTTTGGTTTCAGTTTGAAGTGGTTCAATGTTCAGTTTTATGTGTCTTTCTGTATTACTTAAATTTTGTGTTTGGATGTCGGAAGCAATGCCTTGCATTACAACCAAACCATCCACAAGCACTTACAAACCTCGGGAACATATATATGGAATGGTATGTTGTCCTGAAGTACTTGTTTTATAGCTGATGATTTTAAGACAATTTCTGATAATTCTGAGTATATTTTTGACAAGAAACAATGCTGTCTGAGCAGGAACATGGTGGCTACTGCAGCTTCATATTACAAGGCTACGTTGAGTGTGACAACTGGATTGTCTGCCCCTTTTAATAATCTTGCAATAATTTATAAGCAACAGGTATCGGCATTCAGCATGATCAATATTTCCCTCTCACTTGATTTTCTCTATATCGTTTAGACAAGCTGCTAGAAACATGGCAGAAGAGAGTTGTGCTTAAAAAAACAAAACAACAGACATTTCTTCGTCTTCTTTTTCTCTGAAAGGGAAACACTTGTATAGCATCAAGATGATTAGATATACTAGTTTAATTTTTCCCTTCCTGTAGTTTTTAGCCAGAAATTTTCTGATTTCCTCTCACGACCATTTTAATTTGTTGTGTGCATGTTTCCATTATAGGGAAGTTATGCAGATGCAATATCTTGCTACAACGAGGTTCTTCGCATTGATCCTCTGGCAGCTGATGGGCTTGTTAACAGGGGCAACACATACAAGGAGATTGGTAGAGTGAGTGAAGCAATTCAGGACTACATACATGCAATAGCTATCAGGCCAACAATGGCTGAAGCTCATGCAAACCTGGCTTCAGCTTATAAAGACAGGTAGTTGTTCTATTTCACAGTCTATGACTTCAGTTTGATATTCCTTGTGGGTTGGGGTGTAATCCATTTGAGAAACTGTTTTAGGTAGTTAGTGGTCATGGGTGGATGGAAATAAATGAGATTATGGTGCCAACCGGGCAACCTTGTTGTGTTTTGCAATATTGAATTTGCAGGATTTCGTTTGTGGTTGATATTAACAATGTAGAGAAAAATAAATTGTGATTGACAACCTTTTCAAATTCTTCTTTTGTTTCTTTGTTAGTAATTATGTTGTTTCAGATTCTCTGGAAAAAATTCATATTTTACTCGGGAAAAATCTGAGGACCTGATGAATTTTGCTGGAAAGTCTTTTATCAAAGAAACAATATTGCCTTACTGAGAATATGGAAAGCATTTTGATTGTGCACAGTAAGAACTTTTTAAGCGTTATATGTGTTGCAGTGGACACGTGGAAGCAGCTGTAAAGAGCTATAAACAGGCATTGCATTTTCGACCTGACTTTCCTGAGGCAACTTGTAACCTATTGCATACGCTACAGGTAAATCAAAATCTTATACTTATCTTGCACAGTCCCAGTCTTAGTCTGTATGCCTAGGGGAAACAGTTCAAAGAATCTACCTTGTTGCAAGGGAATTAATCGGTGGTAATCAATTTTTGTTAAATTTCAGACTGATCTATTATTTGAGGTGGGACATATAAGAATTTTATGTTCTATGATTCTTGCTGAGGAAGTATTCTTCCAATTTAGGTAATGGGAAGTACTTTTTCTTTCATGAATTAAACAAGTTAATGGCGAAACCTAGTTATTTTGATCTTTTAGGTAGTGATCCTTTCTTTGTCTCGCTCAAACATCTTATTTATTTTTATTGTTTATTTGTCATTTAGTGGATTATCCTTGATATCCATGCGGAGGTGATTGCTTAATGGACTTGGGCACAGAAGTATTCATACAAGAATGCCATAATAGTGAACTTATTAGTTGTAATGCCAATTAAATTCTTCTGCATGGTTTTGTTTGTGCACGCGTGTTTGAAGCGGAAGTTAATGTTTTTAAAGTTTTGGCAATGACTATGCTAATGAAATTGGTGTACTACAGTGCCTATGCAGTTGGGAGGATCGTGATAAAATGTTCACTGAAGTTGAGGCGATTATCGAGAGACAGATTAATGTAAGAACAATTTTGTGTTCATACTTTATTTTTCTCATTATTGGTTAGGTCAGCTTTTAGAGTTACTGCAATTTTCTTTTTCAGAGGTCACTTCTTCCTAGCGTGCAGCCTTTCCATGCCATAGCATATCCTATTGACCCAATGCTTGCACTTGAGATTAGGTGAGATACTCTCTTAGCGTGCTATGTTATTGACAGAGAGATGATACCATCACCCTTTTTTTTGTTTTGTTTTTGTTTCTCTTGTTTTGTTTTGTTTTGTTTTTGCTTTGCTTTTCGGAGATGATACCCTGTTATGAATACTTTTGTGCGCCTTTTCTCTTGCAGCCGTAAATATGCTGCACAATGCTCCATTATTGCTTCCCGTTTTGCGCTTCCTGCCTTCAACCATCCTGGCCCGATTCCTGTAAAGCGTGATGGTGGAAATAAGAGACTCAGGGTTGGGTATGTTTTCAGTCATGCATGAATTACTATCAATGTTTTGTACTCCCTGACATCCTTTACTCAATCTGCATCTGTTTCTCTATCTGAACCGCAGATATGTCAGCAGTGATATTGGTAATCATCCTTTGTCACACCTGATGGGGTCTGTTTTTGGCATGCACAACAAAGAACATGTTGAGGTTGTAATCTCTCACTGTTTTTCCTGCTTGATTTAAGGCCTTTTCCTTCTTTTTTCTTTCTTTCTTTCTTTCTTTCTTTCTTTCTTTCTTTCTTTCTTTCTTTTTTTTTTTTTTTTTCACTTGTTTTTGTGGCAACTAACTACTCTTTGTAGGTGTTTTGTTATGCCTTGAGTTCAAATGATGGAACCGAATGGAGACAGCGTATTCAATCGGAGGCTGAGCATTTTGTTGATGTTTCTTCCATGTCATCTGATATGATTGCTAAAATGATTAATAAGGATAAGATACAGATCTTAGTGAACCTTAATGGTTATACAAAGGTATTCGTCTTAATGATGGACCCATTATTATTCTTTTCTGAGGTTTTATCATTTTGAAACTACATGTAAATAACAGCACACAGTTATATGGTGCTGTCTTTGCTGTGAGTTGTTTATTATTATTGTGTAATATTAGAAGAATAAGTTCATTTGTTATGTGTTGTTTAGACTCAGCTTCCGATGATAATTTTGCAAACCTGTAATGTTGTGGCCCTTATACCATGCAGGGGGCGAGAAATGAAATATTTGCCATGCAGCCTGCACCTATTCAGGTTTCATATATGGGGTTTCCAGGTACCACAGGCGCTGATTACATCCATTACTTGGTAACTGATGAGGTCAGTTTAGGATCAAATCCTGTGTAATTATCTTGCTTGCTTAATCGTTTTGAGTTTCTGTTATTTAGTTGTCTTTGTTGCTTTCAGTTTGTTTCACCGCGGCGCTTAGCTCATATCTATTCAGAAAAGCTTGTACATCTTCCCCATTGCTATTTTGTGAATGATTATAAGCAGGTCAGTTTTTTCATCATTGTATTGTTGAGGGATTTTTTTCCCCGTCATTTTGTTTTTCAATGTGTGGATTTGTAATAGCTATATTTTACATGACTTCCCCCTCTATTCTGTGTACAGAAAAATCTGGATGTGTTGGATCCAAACTGCCAGCACAAGCGAACTGATTATGGTCTGCCTGAGGATAAATTTATATTTGCGTGCTTCAATCAGCTGTATAAGATGGACCCTGAAATATTTAATACTTGGTAATTTGAGGGTAACACTTGTTTTCATGTTTTCAAGAGAGTTCTTTCAGAATTTGGGAGCTCATTTTTCCAAGTTTTCCACAGGTGCAATATTCTTAAACGTGTACCCAATAGTGCACTATGGCTCCTCAGATTCCCAGCTGCTGGTGAAATGAGACTTCGTGCATGTATGTTGGGTGGTTTATTATTGTTGAGAAATCTTTTCATTTTCTGTAGTATCTTTTTTGCAATTGTTTAAATTTACTATTTCTGTCCAATCAACAAAAACCAAAAAAAAAAAAGAACTGATTCTTGGCAAATAAACAGATGCTGCTTCTCAAGGAGTGCAGCCAGACCAGATTATTTTCACGGATGTAGCTATGAAAAATGAACATATTAGGCGAAGTGCTTTAGCAGATTTATTCCTCGACACGTAAGTTCTTTTTCAATTTTACTGCTTAGATTATTTAAAATTGAAGTTGCTAAACCCTTCCTATTAAAGTATTGTTAATATAAATATATCTAGTTGCTGTGGGCCTTTGGGTTTGTTGATAGTTTGATTCTTGTGTTTTAGACCTTTGTGCAATGCACATACAACGGGCACAGATATCCTATGGGCAGGCTTACCAATGGTGACCCTTCCCCTTGAGAAAATGGCTACTAGAGTTGCCGGATCACTTTGTCTTGCCACTGGACTAGGGGAGGAGATGATTGTTAGTAGGTAGGCATCTTAAGTAACAATATGAAGCATAACATGGTATATATACTTCTTTATACGTATAAAATTTCGGCCTTTATGGGTTGCAGTATGAAGGAGTACGAGGAGAAGGCAGTATATTTGGCACTGAATCGGCCAAAGCTCCAAGCTCTTACCAACAAACTCAAGGCTGCTCGGTTGCATTGTCCTCTATTTGATACAGAACGCTGGGTGCGTTTCTGATGTTGTGAATTTTAAAGTTTTTAATTGCTTTGCGTACACGAGAAAAATGCTTAAAAGTCTTTGCTACTGCTTGCAGGTAAGGAATTTGGAAAGTGCTTATTTTAAAATGTGGAATCTGCACTGCTCAGGCCAGCGCCCCCAGCATTTTAAAGTCACTGAGAATGATTCCGAGTTCCCTTATGATTGATGAGATGGCTATAATTCTAGGAGACGGCACTGTAGATAAAAACGCGAGGAATTATTTAGAAATTAATGTTTAAAGATCCAGAATGTTATAAGATAGATTTGTGAAGAACGCATTGGCGAGATGTTTCCCGTTTAAGGGCAAAAATCATTTATAAATACAGAGTTTTTTTTTTTTTCTAGTCAATCCCGTGGCAAACTTCGTGGCTTGCTTTTTGTTTGTGCCTCCTCCTTGATCCGATTGCTTTTAAGTTGAAGCTTGGGCTTTGAAACTGTTAACATCAACAAAATTTTCTCCACTCTACATAGCAGCCTCTTTGCTGATTCCTTTTGTATCCCGCGCCAGTACATTCTTTCTATATTTCTGAGCTTTCTGTTTCCATTATCTCTGAAAAGCGGGTTCCTGGTTTACTCAAATTGAGCCTCTTTTCAAATGTTGTGCAGCAAATGTCTACACACTACCCAACATCTCGTGTCCCAACATCATTCTTTGTAAGATATATTCATAGACTTTTAAGGAATGGAACTTGAAGAGCAGCCACAGCAGCATGACAGTATATTCCTGGAGATTAATATGACTAGCAAATTCATATATTAGGTACTTCCGGTAACGGAAAGAGATAAAATAGAGCAGGGATCAACTCATCAGAGTATTTGAACTTTACAAGGATACATTTACCCCCAACGGCCTGGTTTTGTACATGCAACTTCTTTGAACTTTTCTTGCCATTTTCTTTTGCCAATACAGACCATCTGAAAAACTCAACTCCCGAGCGGAGGTATATCTTTTCTGCTATGTTCCTAGGGCACCTTAAAAGCTTCCCCTGCCGTAATTATGGTTCTGTGATCAATGTCATACAATAGCGCAACACGAGTTCTTGCTGATTAAAAACAGTAAGTTCATTATAATTAGACTGCATCCTCAGAGATTGTTGCATTTGAGAGTACTACGGCTCGGCACCCAAGAAACAGTAATTGAAATGCTTGGGAAATCTGAACTCCACTCTGTTTCTTCACCATACTAACTTGTCAATGGAAGCTAACACAGGTTGTAATGTGGTTCTTTTTCCTTTCCGAAACCCAAAGAAGCTGTGCAGAAAAAAAATCCAAGCTTTAGATTGGTAAAACAGAAGGAAAGCTCAGGGAATTTCCCGCCTTTTCCGTTGAGGAATGCTCTTGAAGGTTGTTAGGTACCTGGTTCACACACAAGCAGAAATCAATGAGAATAAAGGATGGAATCAGGGGTTTTATTGATCAACACCAGCAAACACAGATTACACAAGAACAATAGAAAAGTAAAGGGATAATTCCGGAGATTTCTAGTACTCCGGGACTCCAAGCCTCTGTCGGCAACAGAACACCAGAAAATTAGCAAAATACGGCCTAATCTCATCCTGCTTGCCCTAACCACAATATACCCCCTGATTCTAACATGTTTTCCCTAGCCACTTTCAGAAAATACTCCTTGGCCCCGAATTCTCTGCTTCTTGCCACGCTTACCCCTTCTAGTGTAAACCATCCTAAGTAAGGGTCTGACAAAGGTTGAAGCCATGATTGATTTATCCTCCAAACAGTCAAAACAAGAGTTGATTGCACTTCACCTGAGAGCGTTCACAACATATCACATGCCACGGGCAGAAACTTCCAATTGCTCAATCCTCCTAGCCAAATCATGCTTCCCACAGTTCTTCAATCCATCAGTGACCAAATCAAAGCACCGAGAAATCGGTGTCAACCCTATCTCCGTCATCTCCACCAAGTAATTCGCAGCATCAACAAACCGGCCTCCACGGCCGCACATCGTGATCAACATGGTGTACACCGGTCGGTTCGGTGGATGCCCCTTAACCTTCATCTCACCAAAGAAACAAAGCGCGTCATCAAATTGTCCCTTCCTGCACATTCCCTTGATTATAGGCGCATACAAGCTCGGAAACGGCTTGTGCCCATCTTCAATGGAGCTATGCAGAAGCCTAAACGCCTCATCGATCTGACCCGCCTTTGAAACCGCAGGGATCAACACCTTGTAGGTGTTGATATCGGGACAAAGCCCGAGCCCACACACTTGATGGTAAAGATCAATGCAGAACTCAACTTCCTCGGATTTACAGATCACTTCAACGAGAGAATTGAAGGTGGAAACATCAGGCAAGAAGCCTTCTTTCACCATTTTCCGCACCATCTCTTTCGCCGACTCGATGTAGCCGGCGTTCAACAGCCCTTCGATCAGGAGGTCGCGGCCTCGAACCGGCGGGTTGAATCCTTTCTTGCTCATCTCCGACAAGAAATTTTGCGCCTCCCTCATCTTCCCCGCCGAGCACCATGCATTCACCAGAATCGAATACGTCCTCTTATCAGGAACAACTTCCTTCCTTATCATCCTCCTCACCAAAGCGTAAGCGCCATGGAAAAGCTTAACTTCGCAGAGGGCAAACAGCAGCGAGTTATAGACCTCCACGGTCTGCGAACAGTTGAAAATCTTCGGAACTCGATTGAAGACCTCCGCGGCCTGATCGACCAGTCCTGAAAGATAGAGAAAGCTAGAGAATTTAGAGAGAAAATTTGATAAAAGGATCAAATTGTTGATTACCTTGTTTCCCGTACTCTTCGATGATGAAGCAGAGGGTTTCGGAGGAGATAATGAGGTTGTTATTGGTCTTCATCTGTTGAAGGATCTTCCACATGGACTCGTACTTCTTGGTGCGGGCTAGGTTTTTGGCGAGCTCTTCGAGCTCGACGGAGGTGGGGCGGTAAGAGGGCTGATGGGAGCGGGCCCAGTTGAAGAAGCGGAGGGACTCAGGGCCGAACTTGTGGCAGGCGCGGAGGACGCGGAAGACGAGGTCGGAGTCGACGGCGGCGATGCGGAGCTTGTTGAGGGTCCGCTCCATGTAGAAGTCGCGCTGCACGATGTTCGAGATGTGGTGGATGGCGGCGAAGTAGTTGTCCTTCGAGGAGGAGGGTTTGGTGCTGTTCTGGTAGTGGTCGCCATTGACGGCAGTGCTGGGCAAGGTCTGGAAATATCGGAGGTTTTGTGCCTTGTAGCTGTTTGTGTTTATGCCTCTGAGAAAGACGAAAAGAATCTTCTTTGACGCTGAAAGCATTGTTATTGTTGTTTAGTCGAGTTAAAGTGGACTGTTTGCAATATTTCGTGGTCTGACGCGTTCCAAAATATTCGACACACACTCTCTCTCTTTCATATGTATATATATTTTAAATTTGAGTAGGGAATATTTAGGAACAATGTTATAAGAGACTAAGGCCCCGTTCACTTCACCAATTTGAGTTTAGAATTTGAGTTTTGCTACAGTAAAAAGCTCTCACAAACAATCACATTTAACTTTTTTGTTACAATAAAAAGCTCTCACATAAAATCACATCTCAACTCGAATTACAAACTCGAATCAGCGAAGTGAACGGACTATAATGTTGTTTAGTATCGCTCTTTAATAAAAGGTGGAGTCCCGCATTATGAGTTTACATGTGAAATTCACTTTATATTAATGGATATTTAAGTATTTTTCAATATATATAGTCATGTTATGCATCTTTTTAACACTGATAGTATTATAATTTTCAAGAACATTATTGTGAGGTCAAGTGATGGCAGTTATCATGTTTTAAAAAATGTGAGACATATCGCCGAGTTAGGAAGGAATTTAATTTCCTTAAGATCATTAGATGATGAGGGATATTCAAATAATGCTCAAGGTAGAGTCTTGAAGATTCTTACGGGGGCGTTGATGGTGATGAAAGGAGAGAAACAAAATGGTCTCTATGTCTTTAAAGGTCAGACAGTAACTGGTACTGCTGCATCAATCATCAGAGAAAAATCCAAGGCTGAAATTTAGCACAGAAGGTTGGCCCACGTTAGTGAGAGAGGGCTGCAGGAGTTAAGTAAGCAGGGACTACTTGGAAAGGACAAGATAAGCCATCTAGACTTCTGTGAGCAATGTGTGCTAGGTAAACAACACAAGCTCAAGTTCACATCATCAACATACAGAGCAAAAGGACCACTGGATTACGTGCATGCTGATTTATGGGGACCTGAGAGAGTTCTAACTCATAAAGGATCCATGTACTTTCTTTCTGTTGTTGATGATTTCTCTAGAAAAGTTTGGGTTTATTTACTGAAAACTAAGGAAGAATGTTTCAATAAATTTAAGCAATGGAAATCCTTAGCTGAAAACCAAACCAATAGGAACCTAAAGGCCCTTAGAATAGACAATGGCATGAAATTTTGTCATGATCTGTTCACGAAATATTGTCATGATTTAGGAATTTTGAGGCATAGAACTGTTAAGAAAACACCCCAACATAATGGGATAGCTGAAAGAATGAACATGACATTGATGGAAAGGGTCAGGTGCATGTTATTTGGTTCAGGATGATCTAAGTTTTTTTGGGGTGAAGCTGTTACAACTGCCTGTTATTTAATTAACAAATGTCCCTGCAAACCAATAGGACTCAAAACTCCAGAAGAGCTTTGGACTGAAAAATCACCAAACCTAGGAAACCTAAGACTATTTGGATGTGCTGCTTATGCACATCAAAGGGAAGGCAAATTAGACCCTAGGTCCTTGAAATGCATTTTCTTAGGCTATCCAGAGGGTGTCAAAGGGTATAGACTGTGTGTTAGAGATGATCCTAGGCACAAAATTATAATCAGCAGGGATGTTATTTTCAATGAATATGATATGCCTTATTTAAACAAAGAAAAAGATACTGCTGTAGTTTCTAATGATGCAGGTCTAGGTACCAACTCAACAAAGGAGCTGCAAATTGAGGTGGAGGCATCAAGGGCCACCAGATCAATAGATGACCAACTGGATACCGGGCTAGAAATAGTACAACAATAATAGTCTATACATGAAGATCCTGACAATCCCACGACCGACCCAGATGAAGAAGTTCTAGAGCCTGCAGAAACAGAAAGACTGGCAGATTACATGCTCAGTCGGGATAGACAGAGAAGACAAGTGAAACCACCTCAAAGATTTGGCCAGAGTGAACCCACAGCATTTGCCTTGAATTCTTCAGAAGATCTAAAAATAGAAGAACCCAAAACCTATGAAGAGGCCATATCCAGTCCATAGGTAGATAAGTGGATAGCAGCAATGAAAGAGGAAATGTCATCCTTAAAGGGGAGCAATACGTGGGTGCTGGTTGATAAGTCAAAGAAGCAAAAACCAGTCTCATGCAAATGGATCTTTAAGATCAAGGAAGGAGCTACAGGAAAGGAACCAAAAAGGTTCAAGGCAAGATTGGTTGCCAAAGGATTCGCAGAAGTTGAAGGGATTGATTATACTGAAGTTTTTTCTCCAGTGGTTAAGTATAAAACCATAAGAACCATTCTATCTCTAGTTGCTCAGAAAAACTGGGAATTAGAGCAGATGGATGTAAAAACTGCATTCTGCATGGAGACCTGAATGAGACCATTTATATGCTCCAACCCCTTAGTTTTGAGGTTAATGGAAAGAAAGATAAGGTGTGCCTCCTGAGGAAGTCTTTGTATGGATTGAAACAATCCCCAAGGCAATGGTATAGAAGATTTGATGGCCATGTGACAAAGGCTGGTTTTGAAGGAGTAGTTGTGATTCATGTCTATATCACAAGAATGCAGGTTCTAGAAATTCAGTATTTCTTCTGCTCTATGTGGATGATATGCTGATTACAGGAGAAGACTTGAATGACATAAAAGAAGTCAAGAAGATGTTGAGTGTAGAGTTTGATATGAAATACCTGAGACATGCTAAGAAGATTTTAGGTATTGACATCAAAAGAGATAGAAAGGGAAGAATGTTATGCTTGTCTTAGGAAGAGTACTTGAGAAAGGTTGTAAGTAAATTTTTCATGGATCAAGCAAAGAAGGTCACTGTCCCACTTGCAGGCCATTTTAAGCTATCTGCAAAACAGTCACCATCAACTGAGAAAGAGAAGTTGGAAATGGAAAAAGTGCCATACCCAAGTGCTGTAGGCTCACTTATGTATGCAATGATTTGCACTAGGCCTGATTTTGCCTATGAAGTGAGCATACTTAGTAAGTATATGGCTAATCTAGGTCAAGAGCATTGGTCTGCCATGAAGTGGGTGCTCAGATATGTGAACATTACTTTGAGTTATGGACTAATCTACAAGCAAAGGTCATCTCACCTCAGCTTAGAAGGGTATGTAGACTCAGACTACGCTGGTGACAGAGATAAAATAAGATCTACTTCAGCCTTCATGATGCTGCTAGGAGGAAATTGCATAAATTGGAAGGCTCAGTTACAGCCAGTGGTTGCCCTCTCAAGTACTGAGGCAAAATACATGGCTGTAACTGAAGGGTTTAAGGAGGCTATGTGGCTACAGGGACTTCTAAGAGAACTAAAGATGTTGAAAGGAAATGCCATCATCTATTCAGAGTCAATCTGCAATTCACTTGAGTAAGAATTCAGTCTACCATGAAAAGTCTAAACATATTGATGTTAGACACCATTTCATCTGAGAGAAAACTGAAGAAGGGATAGTAGGACTGGAAAAAGTGGATACAGAAGAAAACCCCTCTGATATGGCGACAAAGGTGATACCAGCTAGCAAACTCTAGAAATGTCTGAAGTTGCTTAGCGTTGGAAAAACGTAGATCATAAGGGTAGAGCAATGATTCCACAATGAAGCTTAAGGTTTATTTCAGAGATTAAGGTGGAGTTTGTGAGGAATAATCTCTGAACTAAACTCATGATTAATAACAAGAAGAAGAAAAGAACAAAAATGACATTTCATTTTTGGCTGGTGAAGAGTAATACTGCAAGTTGTTTATTCTGGAAGCTGTGCAACAAAACACATCGTTTTGTTAATGTTGAGTTGAAGCAAGTAGCCGAGCAACACGTGGCTGTAGAGTCGGTGCTGTGCTATCATCTTTTAAATGGGTGTAAATATATGTAATATACAGGTTGTTCTAGTTCTAGGGTTCGAGAGTTTTGGGGATCTCAATTTTTTCCCTAATTTTAGAGAGAGAAATCTAGAGAGAGACTGTACAATTCGGTGAGAGAAAATCAGTAAAGAGAGTTTTACTCAGAGTTTGCCTTGTAAAACACTGAGATTTTCTTGGATAGTTTCTTGGGTATTTGGGATTTCTCTGTTCAAGAGTGTAATCGTGAGATCAAAAATGTACTCTTCTTCTTGATAGTGGAACAACTCTTGTGGAGGAGCTCAACTTTGATCAAGAACAACTCTTGTGGAGGAGCTCAACAGAACGTAGGTCAAACATTTTGGCCGAACCTATATAAATCATAGTGTTGTGTGTTCTTGTTTATTGTTTTGTTCTCTATTGATTTTGTATATATATATATAAAATAGAGAGAGGTGCTTAACCAACTAGCCGAACATCCATGATAGATTAAGTTCCTATAAGAGAAAGGTACAAACGTGACCTCCTTATTTAGTTACGAACATTAGTTACAACCACATGAAACACACGAGGCACAAGAATAATTATTGAAACTAGCACGTAGGCTAGGCTGCAAGTTCATGGTTGTTTCTTGGTCTGTTTAATTGACGTCAACCCAGAACTTCTTTTGGAGTTGCGCAACAACATTCTGGTCAAGTTGGAAGGCCCTGGAGAGGACCTCAGGGTTGATGGCAGGATGAGACCCGAACACTGCGTTTGCGATTGTTATCACTCCTGGGTTTTGGCTGCCAAGACCAGCAAAGGCAACTGCTGGAATATATTTCCCGGATTGAACTGGAAGTGAATCATACCAATTGGGAAAGCAAACACATCTCCCTTGTTTAGAACCTTTGTGAAGAAGCAGATTCCATCTTGGTTTGACAACGCGAAACCAACGTAACGACGACAAGGATTTCGGAGGCATGAGGGTGAGTGTGAGACAGGTTTTGGCCATATGGTGCACAGACAATGCGAACCAATGACACCCGAAGAGTGTTGAGTCCCGGAATTCTATCCACATTCACGGTTGTGACATTGGATCCAACCTGATTGTTGGTGTCTCCAGCAATATTTAGACCCGAAGTGAAGAAATCCTCAGCCTTGGCAAGCTTTGGATCCTTGCAGAATTTCCCATTCACAAACACTGCTTGAAAAAAACATTCTGTTAGCTAGTTTGTATCGAATAATTATCAAAAGATGAAAGATATGTCATTCAGACACTAAATATACGGAGTATTCATATGCTAATTAACTGCATTACATTATTTAAACTTTTTTTTCCCTGCTACTGTACATTCTTTAAACTGAAAAGGCTTGATAAAGTTGGTAGGGAAAGAAATGAGTTTATGACTACATACAGGCTCTTT